CTGCTGAACACCTACTTCTTGAAATCTAGCTGTAAAATGAAGCACATGCTATTTTCTACTGCATGCACTGAGATGGGTTAGTGGCAGTTTCTTTAAATACATCTTTCTTAGTCTTGTTTGATGGAGTGTGAAAGCTTTTTTTCCCTTTCAGTCAGAGGCTAGAACTTATTTATACTTGTCAAACAAAACAAAATCTCTGCATAAGGTTGTCAGAATAACTCAGTTATTCCCTTGTCCTTGCTTTGTGAAATTTTTATGCCTTTGAAATGTTTGTCACTAATTTAGCTGGTGTCACCAGTTGATCTGCTTTCTGGATTCTTATTTTTATGCTGCTGTTTCTTTAGTCTTAGTCTTCATAATATTTTTTCCTGGGTGTGAACCTGCTCTGTGAAGTGGCTCTGATTGAAATATTGGAGGTTGATAGGATAGTTTGGGCATAGTGGATGGGCTTGCCCCACTTGGTGTCTGCGTTCCTTGCTCCTCTGCACTTCCCCAGATAGTCATAGAATTTCTGGCTGTTCAACCCATGCATAATTTAACAGACAGTGAGATTGTGTGCTGTGGAGTTTTATTTCTGATCCTGGCTGTAACAAGGGAAGAGGCTACTCCCGGGTGTCTTGAGTGATGGAGAAGCAAAAGGAGCGGTGATCTCACTGTCACAGCTCCTCGCCCAGTGAAGTGTATTGCGAAACCCTTGCCCGTATGCTGTTGTTCATACTGTCATGAACCTCTGGTTAAATTTCCTGGGATTCGCAGCTTTGGGAGTTGGAGAATTCTTGGAGAAGAAGTTGGAGAAAGTTTATGGTTGAGATGATTTCTAAATAAGCTCTTGACTTCCTCTTAAACAGTACTGCTCTGAGCAATTTATCATTTAGGTTAAAAATTTTCTTCCAAAAGGTGAACTTTACTGGGACAGCTTTTTGGTTCTGGAAACCAGCATGTGATTAATTTCAGCCTTGATTTACTTTAAATAATCTTCAGAATAATTTTTGTATTTTGATTTTATTGGGTTTTTTGAACAACACTATTGCATGCATGTCTGTATTTAATCCTCTGTAGGGTACCACCTTTGAAACAAATTATCAGCAAAGTTATTCTGATGCTAATTTGTTATTTCAGCTGAGACTTTTCATCAAAGTGCAGTGAAAGCTTTGAAACTTAGCAATATTGCTACTGTAATAATTGGGATTATCTCGCCCATTTCTGTTTAAAAGTGGTGAAACTCATAGTCTGTTCGTGGGCAAGGATGTTTCATACCAGCAGCTGTAATTGTCTGGTGGATGACTTTTCAAACTATTGTACATTAGAGACTGCATGAACTTTAGAAATGGAAACTTGTAAAAATTGCTTTTTTACAGGAAGTTGCAAAATTAGGTCAATAAAAAAATCCTATTTACAGGTCCCAAGTTGAAATTCCTATCTCTTAACTTGGAAAGGAAATAAAAAACATTAAGTTTCAGAAAGGTACATACTTTTCAGTAAGGTTCTTTGAAAGCAAAGAGAGAAAAAAATTGTAAAATTGATATTAAAACCTGATTGTAGATGTAGGATATAAATCCATGCAATTTTGGCAGTGAGAAAAAACCTGAATAAATTTTTTTTGTACTGCAACTCATCTTTTTTAACTGAGCTGCGAAACTACAGACAACGTTTCATTTTCTTCTTGTGACGCCAAAATGAACAAGAACCGGCTAAAAACAGAATTCCTGGTAGTTTTCGGAAGTTACTAAATGTGTGCTGAGAAGAGGTGGAATTGAAAAATACATTGAATAACAGTATTAAATTGCTAATTCAGACTCGGGGATTTTTTCCCTCTGCAGCTTTGATGTTCTTCATCTTTCAAGCAGTACAGGACACATATTTTGAAGTCTTCTATGGGTGTTAAAGTCATGCACCATTGCAGGAAATGAACAGAGATCACCCATTCTGGCATCTCATTGCCACTGCAGTCTCACTTGCTCATTGTGATAATAGAAGCAATTGGCTGGGGTGGTTTTTTCCCCCCTTCTTCCCTAGCCCTTTACTGGTTTAGATGACTTGGCTTGTCCTTACTGGTGCTTCTGTGACTGCTGCAGAAGTCATAACTGTAAAGGAAAACAGCATTGCCGATTAGTGCACAATGTCTGAGCTTTAGGTTTGGAATTTCCTGCAAGAATCATCTTTATTTCATTTTCAAATGTTTTCATCTGGCAGCAGCTAAGCATCAACATAGATGGGTCTGGGCCAAGGAGAGGTGTTCAGGGGGTTGTTTTGTTCTAAAAAGGTAAAATACTTCTCTTCTCCAAGCATTCCCTGGGAAGCACAATCTGTACTGCCAGACGTGCCAAGAAAACTGGGTTCCCTGAGCGGTCTGCCATGGTCTCCACCCAGTGTGTAGTGTTGGGCAAATCACTTTACCTTGCAGAACCTTTATCTCTCCATAAAATAGCTTACCTTTTGCAGTCTTGAAAAGATTAGTTTTGTAGTTTTTTGAAGTTACTCGGCTCTGTGCAACTGACAGATGATACCTTGTCTTGATATGAAGTCTCATGCTGTGAATTATAAATGCTTTCTCCTCTCAGCCCTGAATATTTGACAAAGTGGGTGTGAAGTGCCTTGGGCAAACTTCATCACAAGCACTGGTGGGCTTTGGCTTTGACATCTGGAACATCTGAGGAAGGGAAGGAAATCAGTACATTGATACACAAAGAAAGAACATCACTTTCATAAAAAAAAAAAGAAAAACTGAAAAACTTCTGAACTTCTGTACTCTTAAAAGCAGAATCAACAAACATCACTTTTCTGCTTCAGTCCTTAGAAAAAACAATGAAAAGGTGTCATTGTCTGCTAAAGAGTATAATTTAGGGATATTTTGTTGGTCTGGTTTTTAATTATTTTTTTCTATTTTAAACTGTTTCTTGAAGAGAAATCCGGGGCTAGCCTCTGAAACATTTTTCTGACCAAGACACAACTTGGTTCTGTTTATTGCAATGAAAATATGCACATCTTGATCATGTTAGCAAGGCTTTCACTTGTAGGGTGGGGATTTTCTTGGCAAGATGACCGCCACTGAGGCAGCCAGATAATCTCTTCATTTCTCATTACCAGATGCTGCAAAAAGAGAGCATTCATGCAAGTGCTGCAACTGCTGGGGAAAACTCCCAGGCTGGTTCCTGAACCTTTTTTTGTGCACCTGCATTCCAGCAGCCTTTAGTTTGTATCCAGTGCTTCATCTGTTGTGGTGCCTTTCCTGCTCTGTCCCATTCTCCTACATGCTTTTTACTGCCTTCCTTAACCATGCTGCAAACTGCTGTTGGATTGCATGAAAACAGTTCTACAAAATGTTTGATAGGTCAAGGTTTCAAGAGTTTTAGCAGAGCGTGATAGAAAAGCAGTGGCAGTGGTCAGAGGGCATTAAAAAGTGAGACAGTGCTAAAGGGGGAGAGTTTGCCTCTTGCCTAAGCTTTCTTTCCAGTTAGTATGAACATGTTCAGTATAAATCCTTAACACATCTATGAGACTGTTTAAAGTAGTTGTGGGGTGTAGATGTAGCTGTGATGTGCACAGCTGAAACCCTGGGCTTCGTTTTCTTACTTCTGGTAGTGGCCAAGCCAGTGTCACCTACTAAAAGCCCATCTAGGATCTCATCTGCATGATTCTTGTTGTCGGCTTTGTTCAGCTGTTCTTATCTGTTTTAATGTTTGTTTGCTTTGATTCTATTTATTTTAATTTGTTACAGGTTTTGTTTGTGGTGTTTGTTGTTGGTTTTGGGTTTTTTTGCTGGAGTTTTGGAAGGTAACCCAGTTAAACTTGCTCTTGTTTGGTATTTGCTGTTTCCACCCACTGCAGCTGCTTCTTTTTGATGCAAGTATTCAACCTTATCATGGATGCAGGTGAAGTGGGGGAAGAAATAAATTCAAATGAGTGTGAAGAGCTATTTAAGTGTTTGATGTACATACTTCTGTTGCAGAAATCCATTTAGCTGCCTTTGTTTCCTTGCTGGTAGGTTAGTGTTTGCAAGCAGATGTATTAGAAATTGGGGAAATCCCAGTTAATGAAACAGCTACAGATAGGTTAGAAAGTAAGAGCTGAGCAGACACCAGCAATTGTGGGTTTTTTGGCAGACCATCAACAGGAAGGGGATTCACTTAAGTGTTTCTGTCCTTTCAATTTTTTATTTATTTTTTTTTTAAGGAGCAGCAATATTCTTGTTTGCATGGGCTGGCAAAACTGCCTTCATTTTTCCTTCCTCCCCCATTCTTTTTCCCCTCAGACACACTTAGTTTACAGGGTTCTTTCTCACACACCTGCTGCCACAGTTGTGAATGATTGTAGGATCAGGCGATCAGAAATTGATGGCATCTCTCTGCAGAAGGGACTTGAACAAATTTTGATTGCTCTGCGCTGATGGACATCTTGGGGCACAGGCCAAACTGGAGATCTTGATTTCTCTGCATATTCTCTTTTTGCAGCTGTAGTATTCTTCCCAACTCTTATCAGTACTTTCAAGCTAAGCACAGTGGTTTTGATTTGCTTCTGCTTTGCCATTGGATGCAGTTATCTGTGTTGCTCCTTTTAATGTTTAACATTCCTAAGATTTTTTGGAGGACTTATATTTTCCAATGATGGCTATGCCTTACAAGCAAGCCAAGTTTGCCAGGCTGCCTCAGAACACACTGAGGAACTGAAAGATGCTGTAATCTCACAATTGTCTATATTCAAATTTTATGTGTGCTAAGAGGTAGTGCGAAAAAAAATTTTGAACCTTGTGCAGTTTTTGGTAGATTTTCTTCCTCTGCTTTTGGCAGTTCAAACCTAGATCAGGATCTTCTGGGTTTAGGTAGAGAATGCCTGTGACTACATACTAGGGCTGTTTTGTTGAATTAGATCTAGGTCCTTGTTTGTAGCCTATTCTTTGGGGTGGTCTTTCTTCTGGAGATGTTAAATCCAGCAAGGGATTGTACTTTAATACCCCATAAAACTCAAGGTGACTTATTCCAGCCAGAGATCAGTGTTTATATTATTACCCCAGAGGTGAATTTGCAGCTTGTCAAAGCTGAAGGATTCTGCCATCTCCCTGCCAGCACCTTCGTTTCTTTCTTAATCTCCAGCACTTTTTTAGTACTTGTTAATTCATGCTCCCCTCGCTATTTTATACTCTGGTATGTGTGCAGGCTGCTGAATTCAGGTTTTTGTAGTGATGCTGTACTTTTTTTCATGAGCTTGTGGTATAGTGTGTGGGTGGAATTGGAAAGGGAAACAATTAATTTTGGACTGAGCTTTAATACTTGACATTCTGCTTCCATCTGATAAGCAATATGAGTGGGATAACTCCAAGGAACATGAATCAGTTTAAGTCTATGCACAAGAGAGATGGGAACAGTTGTGCCCAAAAGTAAATTTCCACTCCTCTGGAGGGCATTTTTAAGATGTGCCTTCTAAGGTAGCAGCTGGCGTGTTGCATGAGGATGAAGAAACAGGGGAGTGGAAATAACCTGAAGGAGGACTCCTGTATTAAATCATCATGAGGGAAAACCTAATGGGCAAGTACAGATTTATTTTTTATTTTGGACATGAAATGATTGCACAGAATTGGCAAAGCTTTGGCAGTAGAAATCTGCTTGTTTGTTCTGCCCAAAGAATGGTGTCCCTTTGTGTTTTGTTGTGGTTTTTTTTCTAAATCCAGAGATTCTCTTCACAGAATGATCATTTAAGAATATTTTTACCATTTTTGTATAACAGCTGGTCAAAAGGAACATGTAAATAAGAAGCATACTCTTTTCTAAAAAGTTAAATTAAATTTTAATGATGTCATATAGACATCATTAGTATATGACTATCCTGAACCTCACTGTGGAGTGCTACCCAGCCGAGAGATGTTATGTCTGGTGTTAGACAAGATACCCTGATACCACAGCGTTCTCCTATTAATCGCCACCTAAACCTCGTTCACATCACTGCACTAAGCTGTAGGTCGTGATGATGGGATTTATTTTCTAAGTTGTTGTGTCACTCTCTGGAAGATCTGGCAAAAGGATGGGGGCTACAGCACAGGAACTCTTCTCCCTCCTTTCCCCGGTGGAAAATATAAGCATCAAAACTTATTTTTGGCAGGAATATACAGATTTGGGCCTCTTTTAAATACCAATGAGGGGAGAGCCTGAAATTTCATGTTGTATTCCACCAATGTTGAAATTTGATTAAAAACAAAAGAGCTTTTGTTTGATTCATTTTTCTTTTTTATTAAAAACGCTTCAGTATAGTAGACTGTATTAATTTCAACTTTTCAGAGCAATGTAATCTTTCTTCCTTGAAGCTTTCAGCTGGATGTTGGGCTAGGTGTACTTGAGAAAACTTACATTCTTCTAAACTTCATAGCCTTAAGTTGCTCTCTAGGTTATCTGTTTTTATTACTTAAGCCTTTCCTGGTTGAGCTGAAGATGACCTCTTTGTACTGTAAGTGGTATAAAAGATATTGTGGCTTTAATTCTAATCCAAATGTCTTTTTTGTGAAGAAGGAAGACTGTCATGCATATCAAGTTGAAGTTGCCAAAGTAATAGTTGTCTGCACTTCAGCAATAGGTGTGCTAGGTGGTGTTTGTTCAAGTACAGGAGCTGTTGATGTGGTATGCTTCAGTTTAATAATCCAACTTTAAATGAGCTTAATATATTTTTAGCTTATAGCTTAAGGGTGAAATTGAGCGGCATCTTTTGGAATAAATAAATAATTTTAAAATTCCTTTCAGCTGCATTTTCCTTTCTCTGCATTAATCTTCCCTCTCTTCCCTTCCTCCTCTGGAGTCTTAACCAGCCTTGTGAATAATGAATGAGCCTGAGGATTAAACTGTTTCTCCAAAGTGGTCTCCTCTGTTTGTGTAAAACAGCTAACCTAGTTTCAGTTCAATGCTTAGAGATTTCTGCTTCTAATGGAAATAGTGGGGTTTTTTTAATCCTTTGGCATTCCACGTGACTCCTCTGTAGCATGTCTGACCCTTATTTGCTGCTGAGCAAGTTTCAACCAGCTGCAACTCTTGCAAATCCACTTCATTCATTAATAGACCTTAAAGGTCAGTGTGGATTCCCGCATGCATGGGAGAAGCTATCGCTATTTTATCACTGAAGCTTGATGACAGGAGTGCACCTACCTTGTGAGTCCTGATCAGTGACTTTATAGGCCAGCTCATTTCTGAGTCTTGTTTCTTGACTGTAGCTTTGCCCATTGCAACTGACTGTTCCTGTTAGCTGGTACAAGCAGTGCAGACTGGCAGGCAAGCACTTTCTTCTGTATCGAAAGTTCTCTAAGGCAGCCTTTTCTGAAAAGAGGAGGAAGGAAGAGACAGGTCTTATTTCTGTTGAAAAGGCATGTTTGTGCCAGGGTTGGGTACTAAAGAATAAATAGCCTTATTTTTCCATTTCTTTGGAATTGCTTGTGTGAATTCTAGCCGTTGAGATGCCTACAGTGTGTATTCCTCCAGTGCTGCTGTGATCACCAAACTCCCCTAGTGAAACATGACTCTTGTGCCCACAGAAGGTGACTAGCCTGAGTGGGCAGTGCCTGTACCTCAAGAGGGTTTGTTCCCATCCTGGAAAAAAGTTATTTTAGGGAGGAAAGAATAACTTAATTTCTGTGCTTCTTCAGTCCTTGTTGCTTGTGGTGGGACTGCAGTGACAAGGGCTTCTTCTGCTCTGGGGAGTTAGGGGATGGGCACTCAGGAACTACGAAGAGATCTGCCTGTCTTGCTGCATACATCAGCAAGCAAGTACATAAATTTTTAAACTTAATTTACTATTAGTGCTGTCTCTCTCTAAAATCTAAAAGGCAAATTACTGCTTGATCTTAGGTTTTTTGTGACTGGTGCATCTTTAGTTATCCAGATATTCTAAGAATACTTTTTCATATTTTGTAGTTGCTTTCTGGCCTGCAGGTTTAAACAAAATATTGTCTGTACCCTAGCCAATATTTACCATACTGAAAAATTGGCTGGCTTTTTAACCAATTATTTCTTTTAGGCACTTGAAGGGCAGCTACACTCATGGGTTGTTGATGATGAATTCAGAATTCATTTTTATGTGGAATGAATATGGAAATGATGTGGTTTGTTATTGCTGTTACTTGTAGAGACATCTGTAGGACAGTTGGAGGCACTGAGGTCTTGATAATGGGTAGAGGCATTTTGACATTTTGCTGATGTTTGTTAGTATGAATGTGTTCATTTAAAAACATGATCAGAAGTTTTGTTCATAGAATGCTAATTTTTTGGTCTTGCTATTAATTGTTGACAACTTGTTACTTTTGACCTTTTGCTTAGCTTAGCTATGACCTTGCCTAACTTAGCTTTTAAAAATAGAGATTTTTTTATTTATCCTTCTAGACAAAACCTGCAGGATGTTTCACTGAACTCCTTTATCCAACTTCTGTTTGCAGCCTGAGATTTCTTAATGCCTCTGCCAACAAACTGGAAATGCTTCCTCCAGCCACTCTTTCTGAAGAAACCCATAGCATCTTACAGGAGTTGTACTTGACCAATAACAACCTCACAGATAAATGTGTACCCTTGCTAACAGGTCATCCACACCTGAAAATTTTGCACATGGCTTACAACCGCCTGCAGAGCTTCCCTGCCAGGTAAGGACGTGCTCCCACTGCCTCTGGCCCAGCCGCCGGTGGGCATCGTGAAACATTCTCACATTGAGAACTAAATTGCGCAGCAACGTGGTGGCGCAGGTTGCATTTTGAGTGCAGTGATAGTGCAGTGGGTGGATTCACCTGCTGTGCCCTCTTGCACCTTGCTGTCCTCCCTTGCGTTACACAGACAAGCGAGTGCTGCATGTTGGTGTGTTTTGATTGCCCTTGGAATTCTTTTCAACTGGATTAGTTTGGCAGGACTGCAGTATGCTTTTGAAGTCAAGCAAGGTCTTCTGTTCTCCCGGGTTTGCTCCCTTTGCTTACATCTGGTGGCCTTCTCCTTAAGAGAGATCATAGTAGTCTGAAAGTGTCCTCTGGAAGTGGACTAAACTCCACTGGAAAAAAATGCTCTCACTCCAGAAGGAGATTCTGCTTTGGCAGCAATTTCTGTACTTTCAATTCACTCTGTTTTAATCAGAAGTCTTTCAAGTGTAGGATGTGTGCTATAAAGCTGATGGGGTACAACCTTGGAAAAGAGATGCCAGTAAATAAAGGAAGAGACATCTCTGCCCTTGTATGATATTCTAAGCAGCTGGGCTTCCATGGCAAGGAGGAGGGAGGTGAATTAGGGAGAAGAGCTGAGTGTGTTGTCAGAAGATGGAAGGGCAAATCTGAGGTGAAGTGAGAAACTAGGGCTGAAAGAAAGAGAAGGGAAGAAGAGTGAATGTGAGCTGGTGAGCAGGGGGAATGTAAGCAAAATAAGTGACTTGAAAAGTAGCATTGACAAAACATTAACAGAAGAAGCACACATTTTGTTCCCCAGCTGTGTTAGCATCTGATGTGAGGAAAGGTGACAGATACTTCTGTGAACAAGGACCAAAGTCTGCAGTTTTATTTTCTTAGAACAATTAAGACCACTGCTCTTACCACCACTTCATAATAAAATTTTTGTCTGTTAAAAGAAAAAATTCTCAAACTTCTGTTTTCACAGCAAAATGGCCAAGTTGGAAGAGTTGGAGGAAATTGATATTAGTGGGAACAAACTGAAAGCCATTCCAACAACCATCATGAATTGCAGACGTATGCATACTGTAATTGCTCACTCCAACTGCATCGAAGTCTTCCCTGAAGTTATGCAGCTTTCTGAAATAAAGGTAAGGTATGAATGTGCTGTGAAAGAAGCAAGTATAATGCAACTTTACCAATTCTATTTACCCTCAGGTCTTACTGCTACAAGGTAGTATACTCCCAGAAATTACAAAGATCAGACAGCTGCGTTGTCCTCTGAGGTTATATACAAAATATTTGTCCCTGTGCCGCCTCAGACTGGAAGGGAAGAATAGCCTCAAAATCTGATTTTTATGCTCACCTTCACCAGATCTTATCTTCTCTGCCAAATAAGTGTTAATTGTCTTCCAGTGCCAGTCTGTTAGGATACGACTTAAACACTTGGCAAGAGCTACGCGTAATTAACTCTTGCTTCCTTGGCAACTGGTTGATTGTGTAGGAATGGACTTTGTTTAGAGCATGTGTAAAAAACTGCTGAAGCTGTGAAAAGGGGTAGGCCTTGGGGACAGAGATAAATTCCAGGAGTGCAGGATTTGAGAATTTAGCCAAGCTACTTCAATTTTCCTAAATGCAGTCATATTTTGAACAAGTGGAGTAATGCTTAATCCATCTATTATATGTGTTTCCAGAAGTAATTCTGTACTTTTCCTGACACTTGTTTTTGTGGGATGCATTCTTTGCTTGACCACGCTGAAGAGCACTACAGCTTACCTTTTGTGAATCAAGTTCCTGTTTCTCGCCTGGCTGTAGTGCAGGGTATTTTGTGCTGCAGGCTGGTTCTGCTGGCCAGACCTGGGAGATGGTTAACTCACAGCATACAAATCTTGTGATATGGCAGAAAATCCATGGTTCTCCCAGGCTGAGAACTGATTACCTATTCATGGACAACTTAAGTGTCCTTAGGGCATTCTGTGAAGTCAGAAGGCCAAGTTCCCAGACTGCCATGTGTGCCTCAGTGTCTGGGGTCAGGCAAAGCAGCAGGAGCAATAATTGCGTTGGACAGCAAGTACATGTAAAGATGAGCTTTGTGGTTTTAGCCAGGAAATCTCAAACAAACTTGTGGGTTTTTGAATACTCCTCCCTCTTTGGAACAATGGCCTGAGGAAGTGGAGAGCCATTTAGAATTCATCAGAAGTAAAGCCTTTTTTCTTAGAGGAAGAATTGGGGTGGGGGAGTGAGGCTCTGTGCAGTAAACATTTCTTTAAAAGTATGAGGGTGATGTCAGCCAGAAAAACCCAGATGAGGATAATGTAAACATGCTGGTAGAGAACAGTCAACTTTTTCCTTTTCGCGCATTTTGGGGAAAGTTAAATGTTTTATAAAAACATCAGTATTTAAAGTGTTACTCTGCCACAGTGCTCAGCAGAAAAATGCTCTTGGAGGACCTGGCACTTTCTTCCTGCTAGTTCCCTATGGTTATTTAGTTCTCCTAGCAGAAGAAAGGCATGGACATAACTAACTGGGACTGCAGGGGTAGCATGCATGACTTCATCTAAGAGGACACAGTGCTCTAGTACTCCACCTTTGTGGACAGAAAATGCCCAGTCATTACTCAATCCTGTTTTTTTACTTAGATGAGTTTGTATAGTTGCCAGATGGAAAGGTGCCTTCTTGGGCATGGAGGTGGTTCTAGCCTCTCAGTGATTTCTCTCGGTCAGGGTTGGTGTTTTTCAGTTTGGAGACCAAGTCTGTGCTTCCTGTTTGTGTCCATAACTGGAGCTCCTCCTTAGGTATGTGAGAACATTCAGAATGTGCCACAGTAAGTTCAGAATTTATTCTTTGAGTATGGATTTGGTTTTGAGGTGAAGTAATGCTGCTTGTAGCAAAGCAGAAAGTAGTATAGTATCATGTCACCTCTGTGATTATATCATATTTGATGGTTAATTTTAACTGAGGTGGCATTCAAACCCTCTCAGCTTCTTAGGCAACACTGTTACCTGAGGTAATGGGTGTTTTACTTTTGTGTTTAATTAGCCTGAGAGGCTGATAGGTTATGTTTTTGGAGTCAGTAATACTGGAACAGTTAGTAGCAGCAGTTACTGTGCTGTCTGAAATGATTTCGGAAGGAAAGTTAGTGTAAATTATGCTTTTACACATGCAGTAACTCTGGGATTTCCAAACACAAGGTCATTTCAGTGATGCAATGGTCTTTAAGCCTTTTTTACATACTACAGTCAAGGCTACAGAAGTTGTGTTGTTCTCTCTGTTAAAGAGCTTAGTGGTTGTCTCTGAGCTATCTTACACAATAAATTTTTTAGGGTTTATATTGTATTTTATGACAGTTATTTGTACTGTCAAAGTTAGCTTTATCATTGCATACTGAAATGTATTCTGCAATTTGGTTGAACAGCTGGAAGCACACACACTTGAGTCAGTACCCTATCAGACTCTTCCTTACAGTTGTTCTTTGACTTAAGTTTTCTTCCCTTACAAAATAATAAAGGGCATTTTAGAAGTTAGCCAGCATCCTGGTGTTCTTCTGCAGTCAAGCAGTTGAGCAGTCCTTACTGCTTGAGCAGAGCCCAGAAACCCAGGTTTGCTTTTCCCAGCTGGGACCTGACTTGACTTTTATCATTCAGTTTTTATTAATTGGTGAGTTGCTTCTCTTTCATAGTTGCCTTGCCGGGCTGCTGCAGCGAGGGTGATACGGAGGTTTCTTCTTCTGGCTTTTGGTCAAGCTTATCTTTCACAGGAGCATTACCTTGAGATCCAAAATAAGCGAAGTTCTAGTTACAGTAGCATCTTACAGATGAAACTCAATCTTTGGTAGTTTTTCTTCTAATCAATAGGTTACTATTGGTGTGGCCACCTGCAGTCACAACTGGAGATAATTTAAATCCTTTCCAGCCTTGAACAAAACAGTTACAAAGCTCTAAATGCAGTTTAAGCAAATGCTGAATATTAGGCCTTGCCTACCAGCTGTCAGGTCCAGTACAAAATTCTGTGTGCTGTTGCAGGAGTTGTTCTTCTGGTGCTACGTGGGTGGGACTAAATCACCTTGCAGTAAAATAATGCATGAGGAAATTGGGACCAGTTAGGAAATACACTTTCCTGCTTGTCCAGGGAGTAGAATAAGGACTAAATTTAACATAGATTTGCTGAAAGTCCCTTAGCCTATTTGTGAAACAGCACAATTCACATCTAAGAAATCCTAACCTGAGAAATAACCAGTCTTCACTGGTGCCAAGGACCAAAGGATATGCTGTAGAGTGTTGCTACCTTTGGAGTATCAGGCATTTAATGAGAACAATGAAATTACTCCACCGATTTTTGTGCCTGTTATTCCAGCATGTTCTTCCATCAAATTCGTAATGACACAGAGTTGTTGAACACAGCAAGGCCTGCTGGCAGCTTCTTTAATCTGCAAAGTAATTACTGGCTCTCTGGAAGCAGCAAGGAGTTGCGCAGAGGAAAAAAGCTCACTAGAATAACTGTTCTGTTAAGCTGTCTACTATTTTGTTTGCGTGACAGATTTAAACTCTGATTTCCTTATCAGGCTTAGATAACGTCAGCAGTTTGTTCTTCATAGATAATAAGGCCTCCATGCCGGACAACATCAGGATTCAAGATTTGGGTTGGAAATTTGTTTCCGTTGTGTGTATTTAATTAAATGTTAGAAGATTTTTTTTTTTTCCAGATTTTATTAGGTTGCCTTATACCTTCTTCCAGGTCAGGACCCAATTTCTTTCAATATACCTACAAAAATTAAAATGTCTCACTTGTGTATCATTGGAATTGCATGATGGTCAAAATGCAGCTAGGATAAGCCTCCCTCCAGCCCTTTCAACTTTGTGTTATTAAAGTTTTTGAAGTCTTTCTCTTTTTGCAGGTTGGAAGTAGAAAATAGTCGTTCTGAAAGATGTCGATAGCTTTTCTATCGTCTGTTAAATAGAAGTCTGCTCTGTCTTAGATTTTTTTTGTGTGTGTGTGGTTTTTGCTACATGCCACAGTAGTGGTCCTGTTATTTTAAAAGTTTTTTTTTTTCCAGATTTTATTAGGTTGCCTTATACCTTCTTCCAGGTCAGGACCCAATTTCTTTCAATATACCTACAAAAATTAAAATGTCTCACTTGTGTATCATTGGAATTGCATGATGGTCAAAATGCAGCTAGGATAAGCCTCCCTCCAGCCCTTTCAACTTTGTGTTATTAAAGTTTTTGAAGTCTTTCTCTTTTTGCAGGTTGGAAGTAGAAAATAGTCGTTCTGAAAGATGTCGATAGCTTTTCTATCGTCTGTTAAATAGAAGTCTGCTCTGTCTTAGATTTTTTGTGTGTGTGTGTGGTTTTTGCTACATGCCACAGTAGTGGTCCTGTTATAGGGTTTGGAGAGTTTCTTTTGTTCTGAAATGCTGTACTTATCCCTGTGTATTGACTTCCATCTGGATATGCAGCTTTAAACAACGTTTGTTTGGGGATTTTGTCATTCTAGTGCACTTGCTCTAGCTAATTTGTACTTTGCTCATGGATAGCCAGCAGGTTTCTCTGCTGTTTTGTATCATATTTTTTCTAAAATACTTAAGCTGTAATTTTTTCACTAATTTTATTGACTCCATGTTAAATACGAATACATCTAAGATGACACAAATTTAAACCATGTTTCAAACTGCTCCAGTATTTTTTTCCTTTCTACATCTAATCCTCCCCTCCACATGAATTCACAACCCTGCCTATTTTAATATCCCTTGGTAACTACTGAATTCCCAAGAGCCTGCTCATACTCATGCCAGTTTAAACTGACTTCAGAGAAGAGACTTATGCCAGTGGCTTAGAAGTCCCAGTTGTATCCATCTCTGTTTTCTTTATCTATTAAAAGACTGGTTTAATCAGTAACATTTTTTTTCTTAAATACTTGAAAATACGTGGACCGTCTTTGTGAAGAACAGACAAAACTTACTGGTTTTGTAGTAAGATGACACCTAGCCAGAGATGGAAATGAAGGGAACATATTTCTAGGTGTCCCAGACATCTGGTGAGATGGCTAAATGCCATATTAATTTCTTTTGTAGGAATTGCTTTCTTGAGTGAATGGTCTTAGGTCTCAGTTGCAGCATTAATAGTTCATGAAATAGTGCATTGCTACATTTAACTAAAATTTGTATGGTTTTGATGACAGCTGAATTCTCTTGCTTATATTTGGCTGCTTTCCTTTTGCAGTGTGTGGACCTAAGCTGTAATGAACTGAGTGAAGTCACATTGCCTGAAAACCTGCCTCCAAAACTACAAGAGCTGGACCTGACTGGAAATCCCAGATTAGCCTTGGATCACAAAACCCTAGAGCTGCTGAAGTAAGTTACCTTGCAGAGTGAGGAGGGGGCAGAGCAGCTCCTGTCACTAGAGTGTGACAAAACCACCATACACAGAAGTGTAACTCTCTTGGAAGGAGTAAAGCTCCCTGTTGTCAGTGGATCAGATAGTAACAGATTATGTGAATAGGTCAGAAATCAGTGCTTTGTTTAAGAGGATGACTTGACCTGCATCAGTGCAATTACTTTCAGATGTAACTCCTGAAGGGGTCTGCCAGCTGGTGTAACCACTCTTGGGCCAGTTTGATCTCTGTTTTATTTCTGACATTAGATTCAGCCAAAATACTTGGTTTGTTCCACAGTACTTTATTTACTGTTCCACAGTTACTTTATTTTTTTACTCACGTTCATTATTGAGCTGCATTTTACCTCTTCACATACTATTTCTTGTTACCTTTCATACCTCCTCTCTGCTTTTGTCCTAGCATTTTCTTTTTACTCTTCATATTTAAAGCTTTCCTTAAGAGTTGCATCTCCCATTCTGTTTGCAGCAAAACTAGCTCCCTTGCTTTGGAACCATCCGTTTCCTTCCTGTCTACCTGTTTGTTTCCTACCCTGAGACTTTAGTGTTACCCAAAACTGCAGTTCACCAAGTGCTTTGTGCCTCCTTCCACAGTGTGCTGGGAAACTGTTGCACTAAACCAGATCACCTGTGGACTGTGGTGCTGTCGAGCTTTATTTATGTCCTGGAGGGAGCTGCACCAGCTCCAAGTTTCCTTCTAAATCTCTTGGAGCTTTAAATATTTAATGACTCCCAGAAGGGTTGATTTAATTTTTAGGGGTTGAACAGTTACTTCATGTTGCTTGCTTTTAAATGGTTAGGATCAGACAGTGGAGTGATAAACCTCATCTATTGCGCAAGCAAGGGAAGCTTACAGTGTGAGTTTGCTTTTAGTTTGAATCTGTGGATTTTATCCAAGTTAAATGGAAATTTGAAATGATGAGTTTTCACAAATAAAAATGAGTCCATGTTCTGTATCAGACAGTGGGGAAAAAAAGGGGAGTTCTTCTATTTTAAGAGCTGCTTTATTGTATACTAGAGACCTTCCTGAATAAACAGTGTGTAATGTTGCTCTGGTTCATAGGGGGAAAAAAATAAATGTGTATATTACAAAGTTAATTACACTGTGTTGAAACTTGAAGTGAAATACCAGGTTTTCTTGTGTATAGCCCAGCTGACAAGATGGACAAGCCAATGTCTCTCCACTTCAGTTTTCAGGCATCATGACCTACAGCAGTATCCTACAACAAATATAAGTCCTAAGAAGTGGAAGAGTAGTGTGGCCCAGTTTGAATGCCATCTTTTCATTAGCATATGCATTGTCTCTAATTCACAAAAAAAACTTCTTTGCTCTTATGTATGCATTTTGTTTGGTTATTTGAGTTTTTTTACTGCATCATTCTTAAAACCTCAGGTCTGTTCTCTTCCCTAATATTCCTTAGCCACTGTCAGGTGTTTCAGGCCTCCTGAGAGGCTTCTTAGTGTCTGTATTGATACATTACACTGACTTCTACAGCATACTGCTATAGTTGACTGTGAGGGAGGAGGTCTTTCTTTCACTTGTTTTTTTGTGCAGGCACAAAAATATTTGTGTACTTGGTACTTTTTATATCTTCCTTCTGCATGTGAAAGGCAGCTTTCCATCTGCGCCCTGGCAGGATTCTAGGAGGTAGTAGGTTAATATGTATTCTCAGTACTGGTGAGAAGAGTAGTCCTGTCATGCATGCTTGCTTTTTTAATATGTATGGAGATCTTAAAGGAAGCTTGAATGCTTAGGAGGACGTTGCCAAGTGATTTATTTGATCTAAGAATTTTCAGTAGCAATTAAAATGAAAAAGAAAGAAAAGATGCTGCCACTCTGCTGTTTCTTTGTTTTGTTTTTAGGAAAGACCATCTAGTTGAATTTTAACAGCCATTTTAAATTAGGGGGAAAATAAATCATGTTGTCCAGAAGACTCAGCCCATATTCCCTGCATATCCTGCTGGATATCATTCCTTTCTGGGCACATGGTCTATTTGTAGTGGTGCCGTTGAGGAAGCTGAAAGCCATGCATTGAGGTAGCTTTTTTCACCACTGCTGGGAAGCCTTGGGACAGCTCTGGGTCCTTGACCTGCCCAGAAACCAGGGGTCAGTCAACCCATTTCAAACAGAAACAAACAGTAAAACCTTTTTGATCCAAGTTCTTCTGCCCTGGAGGATAAGTGCCTTGTGTGAAAAGTCTGCAAAGAAGGTGTATTTGCTTGTGTGTGTAGTGCTCTGCAGGTGCAGACAATTAAAGTCTCTGCTACTTTAGAAAAGATCCAGCTTTCCAACTTGATTTGGGCTCAGATAATCTTTCCTAATGTTTGTGGCAAGATGTTTGCCTCCTGTTTGTCACACAGAGAGCTGCAAAATCATGGGCTGAAGACATGGGGGTTCAGTGCTATTTATGCTATTTGTTTGCTTTTAATCTGCCCTTGCTGATATACATCCTGACTATTAGTGTGAAAAGAAATGGAACTGATTGTGACAGTACTTCAGGTTATTTGAAGAAGACTGTGCAGCGCTGAAAAGACTTTTCTGTGTGTTCAGGTCAGGTGGGGATTTGGATAGAGGAAAATGAATGCTTGGAGCGAGCAGTTAGACCTTTCTGCTTGTGTCCTTTTATGATTCATTTGGTTCATGAAAGGTTTGGGTGCCTTTGAAGTGTCTGCAGCGTGTGGGGAGCTCGCTTTCCCCGCCTTTGGAAGAGACCAGTAGGGAGCAGGGGGGAGGTCATCTCTCCCAAGCAAAGCAGGGCTGTGAAGAGAAGGGTTTAAACAGAGAGGGCTGGGCGCTTTTTAAAGCTGTGTGAGATATCTGACATACTGGCTAAAAGCTATGTTGGCAGTAAATTGGAGGGTAGAGGATCAAGGGCCTAAGTAAAAATTGGAATGTACAATTGAAGAGGGCAAAAGGGCTGTGGCCACAGTTGGGACTGCAGGCTGCCTCTAACAGGTTGGTGCAGGAGCAGGGTGGAGTGGGATTTCTAGTTTGCGTGCATTTTCATGGAAGGCTGTTAGTACATGTTGCTGTTTCTGAAGATTTTTTTCTTTCCTTTTTTCTCCCCCCCGCCCCCCCCCCTCTTTTTTTTTTTTCCCCTCCATTTTGGGGATGATGTGGGTTATACAGAAGGATTAATATAAGTACAATTAAAAGAGCTTGGAGACTTGTTGAAATGGGTGGGAGAGATGTATTAAGCTAAAAAAATCACTCCCCTGTGCTTGCTTTCATCAGGCTAGTGACAAATTTGCCTTGTGCGCATACTGGGCCAGGTTTGAAACAAATAGCTCAGGGGTGAAGGCAGGGAAGAGAAAAGCTGGCTAAGCAAAGCAGTGCAGCTGACACCCTCACAGAGCCTCAGTTATTTACTGCTCTTTTGTTCTTTTTATACAGATACATAAAAGTAACCACTTCGCATGCCCTGCTTTTTTTCCTCTATTAAGCGTATCACTAAGACCTAGGAAGGGAAGAAAAGGCATTATCTTCACATTTTTAGGCTAGATCACGTCAGCAGCACTTGAGTCCATGGCAACTTCTCCCCTTTCCTTTCTCTTGCAGCAATATCCGTTGCTTCAAGATCGACCAGCCCTCGGCCGGTGACGCCTCGGGAGCGCCGGCGGTGTGGAGCCACGGTTACACCGAAGCGTCGGGCGTCAAGAACAAGTACGGCCTGGTGTGGGTTGTGTACAAAGAAATCCTGTTTCCAGGGAAAGTTCTGGGGACATTTTGGGCTTCACAAAGGCAGAGGCCATGCCATGACTCTCTGTTTGTACACTGGGCCCCTGCCTGGATCTCAACTTTGGTCTTTGTTAGGGAAGTTGCTAAGATACAAGTGTAACCGCCACATTTTGTCTATGCAGGACTCCAGTACTTGGAAAAGATCTGAGTGTTTAAAAGCATTTTTCCTCTTTGCAAAGCTTCTTTATCTTCCACCAAAGGATGTTTACCAAGCAAATCAGAGATACTAAAGGAAGAGGCAGAATGGCCCAAACTCTGAATATTCATAGTGTGCAGAGCTCCTGTGACTAAGGCAGCACTTGACAAATAATGTACCAAGAGTCTGCTAGTCTCTGTGTTGCTGGCAATGTGATGAATCTTTCTTTGTTCCTTAAATACCTTTTTAGAAATCTTCTGCTACCTAGGTTTCTGCAGCAAGTGCCAGCAAGTCTTTGCTTACTTTTAACTGATTTAACACATGACTTGGTCATTGGCATGTTAAATCACAAGGGTGGATTTCCAAGGAGCAAGTGTGGTTTCAACTGATGTTTTGGGCATACTTTTTTCCCCCTATTTCTGTAAATAAGAGACTTGTTCACAAGCTAAAAAGGAGGAAAAATACTTAGACTTGAATTTCCAGTACAGTTCTCCCCATATCTTAGCACTGTTGGGTGGGCCTGACAGTTCAGAAAGCAGTCCTGAAATGCTTGTGAACAGAAGCAGTTAAAACTGTCTCTCAGACCAGGCTGTACCCTTCCGGTCAGAATCACAAGTAGAAAAATTAATAGCGGGTAGCAATAATGACATTCTACTGCTTTGCTTTTTTACTAGGCTATGTGTGGCAGCACTTTCAGCCAATAACTTCTGTGACAACAGGGAGGCACTTTATGGTGTTTTTGATGGTGACCGCAATGTGGAAGTGCCGTATCTGCTGCAGTGCACCATGAGTGATATCTTAGCAGAAGAGCTGCAGAAAACCAAAAATGAGGAGGAGTACATGATCAACACTTTCATTGTTATGCAGAGGTGAGTTGGATATGAAGACTGGTTTTACCTTGTATATGCTCACTGGGCAGTTTGTTTTCTGTCAGGTCAGATAATGCTCTTACTTCAAAAAAATGTGAGAGAGGAAAAAAGCCTTGGTATCTCCTATGGTGTTTTAATTTTTTGTATGCTTAGTGAATATTGCCCTCTGTTTATTTCAGGTGTGGGGAGAAAAAACTCGACACCTCCCCACTCAAAAAAAAAAGATACCCACCTGCAAAGTTACTAATGCTCATGACTCTGCGGTTGTTCGAGGTTTACTCTTGTGTGGTATCTTCTGCAGGTCTTGCAATTTACAATTGGCTACAACCAAAGCAGCGGTATAAACCTCTTGGCCAGCTTTTAAACTTTCTTACTTCTACTGGCTGCAAAGCCCAGGCTGATCCTTTCTGTTTCTCTCTACTGACTCAGGTTACTTAAGGCTACACAGATATTTAAAACATGTAGTCTGGGTCCTTAGAAATGTCTATTTCCTGGCATCCCTTTGGCTTAGAATATTATTTAAGCTGGACCCATCCAAAGAGGTTGTGATATGATAGTTTTGAGTGTAACAGTAGCCCTGTGTAGTGGTTTGGAAACCTGCATGCAGGCTGTTCTTAACAAAAGAAGAAATTGTGCCTGGGGAGGCATCGAGTGAAGGAAGAGTATGAAGGGAGTTAAACAAAAGAGAATGAAGAGGTCAGGGAAACAAAGGAGATTGGAGAAAGCAAATAAGCAGCTTGGAGACTGAGGAAATGGGCAAGGTTAAAAGTAGCATTTCTCATCGTTCAGTTGCTGCATGTTTGGAATGGAAAAATACTCAAGTTCTGGTATCGGGAAAGATACAGAAGCAGTAGGGGGGTGTTGAACCTTATAAAAAGGAGATAAAATGCTTCCTTTCCATATTTGCTTGTAATAGTGTCTTAGACCAATAGCTGAGAAGGTGGTTGCCATATACTTAAATTATCAAAAAATAATAACAAGTTTGAGTATCAAAAGTACTTATTCAGTGGTTTTGTTTACTACTAATGCAATTTCACAGCAATGTGGCATTCCTACAAAAAACTGATGTGTTTTTTGTTGCTGTTCTGTGGGTTTTTTTCTATTTTGGTCTCAAGTCAAAATCAGCTAACCACTTCTTTGGAGAACCAGAAATAGCATTCATTCCAGTTGCATTTAACCATTCATTAAGGGTTATTACATTTACATGCAACACTCCTCAAGTGTATTTAAAAAAAAAATAAAATCTGGAGCTTCAGAAGCCAAAGAACCAGCTGGACCTTTTCAAGCTCTACCTGCACTCATTTAGTCATCCTCAGTACTTTCCTAATGCTCTCTATTTCTCTCAATCTGGCCTTTAAAACAAACATCTCTAAGGTATATAGAGAGACAACTGTGCAGTTCTTTAAACTGCAAAGCTGTTTGTTTTGTTTTTAAAACTGAGCAGATTATCTGTATACGTGTAAATAACATACTGCCTGAGAGTTGCATGTGGTTTCTCTGCAGTGCTGCTGTAGTGTCACTGTCTTAACAAAAGTGGAGACTTGTTTCTGTCCCAGTGATACAGAAGAGTCAATGCCCTGGGTGCTTGTGGTTGTGGCTGTTTCTCCATAGAGTCCATAACACTTGTTTTCCAATTAAAGAACAATCATTGTTTTGTTTAAATACCAGGAAACTTGGAACAGCTGGACAAAAACTTGGAGGCTCTGCTGTCCTTTGCCATATAAAACATGATCCCATGGACCCTGGTGGATGCTTCACTCTAACCTCAGCAAACGTGGGGAAGTGCCAAACCGTTCTCTGCCGGAATGGGAAACCTTTGCCTTTGTCCAGGTGTTATGTGATGAGTTGTGAAGAAGAGCTGAAGAGGATTAAGCAGCATAAGGCCATTATCACAGAGGTCAGAGAACCGCTGGGGACTGTTCCAGCTTGTATCTTCCTTGGGAGAGTATTTGCACAGCAATGCATGAAATTACATGTCGATATTAGTAGCCTCTAATGGGTGGTGTTAATGGTATGAGTTCTGGAGTTACACTTTTCCTTTCAAGGTGATTCATATCAGGCAATCGAGTTACCATGCAATCAAGTTGTTTTTCGGTCTCATTGCCATGCTGGATTTTGGTGAGCTTCAGAGAGTTAGCAACTGTGAATGTGTTGCGTTGAAACAAGAAAGCAGACACCCTCCTACTAATGGGGAGAGTAATTGCTGCTGCATTGGAGCTGTCATAAAGAGCCTCTCCACTTGAAAAGGATGAAAAGGCAGAGCACTTGGAGCAATGCCATCATTCCCTCAGGAGACTCTTTGCTCCTGGCAGGGTGACTCTGCTGTCTGAGTTCCTACATTCCCAGAGCTGCCCTTTGACAAACAGAGCATTTGCCCAAAAGGAAAACCCATCCTGTGCTCAGTTGAACCATGAGAGAGGAGAAAACTGTTGATTCCCTTTTTACAAGCATGAAGCCACCACTGTCAGTTTTGCTTTGCCTTGTGTAACATATGCATTAGAACAGAACAATACTGAATCCTCTGAATGGTGGATGAAAGGACAGAAAACTCCCTCCTGTGTGCCTGTGAGCAGGGTATGCGTGTGTAGGGCTGCATGTGTGTGTGGAATGAGTCATGTGCCTGTTGATCTTGCCAGGGAAAGGTGATGACTGGGATCTCAAATGTGACAAGTTGGAAGGGAGTCACTCCCAACATAGTTTGCATCAACCAAGGCACGCTGGTTGTGCTGTTCCATAGAGGAAAAAGGAAATTTCTGCACTGAATCTTAAGATGACTCACTGATTTTGTACATGTTGATGGCTTATCACTGCTGTCAACCTGCTAATGGGCAAGTTAACAAGCCGACAAGGTTGGTTTTTTTTCCTTCTGGCTGATTTTAAAGGGGAGGCATTTTTTAGTCTTTGTTCACTTTTCAGTGGTTATCTGCTTTATCATAGCCACTGCAGTCATGAGGAATATCAAATGAGTGTAAATCCTCACCTTTGTTATTCTTCTCAAACATGCGGTTAGCAGGGTGCAGTTATCCTCAGCAGGCTTGACAGATAGCCAGGCTTGCTGTTTCAGACACTTGCTCTGCTTATTCTGGCAGCTTGGATTCTAACCAGGACAGGATCCTGGGATTTGGATGTGCATGGGATTTACTTCTCAAATACGTCCATTTTTGCTGATGTTTTCCCTTCAGATATCATTCCTCCTCCCCTTGGAAATGCCATATCTAAGTGGAAACGTAGTAAGTAATTGGGGCATGTAAAACATTTCACTACAACTCAGCTGACTGAGAAATGCAGACTTGCTCTCTGCTGCATTTGACTTGCATGCTTCATTTAAAAGTCATATGTTATTTTTATTTTTTTAAATCAACTTTTGTTTCTGAAGTGATGAGCCAAGATGTTACAGCTGCAAGGGAAGAGTCATAATTGAATTACTTGCCTCGGTATCAAATGGAGCTGTGTGTGGTTTTGCCCTGTATAAAGCCAGATGATATTGTGGGTGGGGGAGGGGTAGGTCTGACTCACTGGTAAAACATGAGTCCAGTTGGCTCTCGCAGCTGGAGGAGCAGAATAGATGGCTCTTTGTTGCAGACTTGTGCGTTGTTGGTCTGTGCATAGGTGATGCTGATGACAAATCAGCAGGGTGTAGGAGGCGTAGCGCAGGATTGGAAACCAGCCATTTCTGTGCTTTAATCCCAGCTCTGCCACCTCTTTGCAAGGCACTTCGCCTTCCCGTCTTCTCGTATGTAAATGGTAATGTCAGGGGTACTGCAGAAACAGCCTTGGTGAAACACAGGGAAGTGCAGGTGCTGTGTATCCGGATCTGCTTTATTTCCAATTCCCTCTCCTTTCTAATTGCAGGATGGCAAAGTGAATGGTGTGACGGATTCAACAAGAATCTTGGGGTACACCTTCCTTCACCCAAGTGTTGTGCCGCGTCCTCACGTCCAGTCCATCACCTTAACTCCGCAAGATGAGTTCTTCATCCTGGGAAGCAAGGGGCTGTGGGACAGCCTCTCGATGGATGAAGCAGTGGATGCAGTCAGAAACGTGCCTGACGCGCTGGCGGCCGCCAAGAAGCTTTGCACTTTGGCCCAGGGTTACGGCTGCAACGACAGCATCAGCGCTGTTGTGGTTCAGCTTAACGTGACGGAGGACAGCTTCTGCTGCTGTGAGCTGAATGGGGTCCCACCCCCCAGCCCGGGCATCTTCCCCCAGTCGGTCAACGTGGTCATCAAGGACAGGCCGGCCGACGCGCTGGGGATGCCGTCTTCGAGCAGCGGCATGGCATCGGAGATCAGCAGCGAGATCTCCACCTCGGAGATGAGCAGCGAGGTGGGCTCCACGGCCTCCGACGAGCCTCCGCAGGTTGCCATGAACGAGAGCAGCCCGGCCTACCCGGGGGAGCAGCGCTGCATGCTGCACCCCGTCTGCCTCTCCGGCTCGTTCCAGCGGCAGCTTTCCAGCGCCACCTT